TTCCGTATTAGCCCCTGTTGAGCTATTAATACAGTACTCAGGGACCGTGGCTCCTGTCTGAGCAGAGACATTACAGCTAACATTAAAACACACTCTTGATTTCAATATGTAGATAATGGATGGCGTTTTTAATGTTTCTGCTAATATAAATTGATAGAATGAGGCAAATATGATTCACAGATAGTAGGAACTGCAAATGCTGGAAAATATGAGATAACAAGTTGTAGAACTGGATGAACACAGCGGGCCAAGCAGCATCATAGGAGCAGGAAGGCTGATGAAGGGTCTAGGCCCGAAACGTTAGCCTTCCTGCTCCTATGATGCTGCTTGGCCCGGTGTTCATCCAGCTCTACACCTTGTTATCTCAAATATGATTCACACCGCCTGGTCAATCAACAATCAATAAAGAACAAATGGTGTTGTAGTGGTACATTAGATGATCAAACTTACACATCGCTATGAGAGAAAACACATGCAAAAGGAATCTTTATCATAGTGCAGACTCTATGCCACATTATAACTCTATCAGTGACTGAAATTAAGAATGTTTTTTACATTTGATCTTTTATAGAAATTTAATAACTCGATAGATGAATAACTATAGTCAGTTTGTACTGCATTGTATTTTCATAACATCTACATTGCATTTCTCGGCAGACGACAAATAGTTTTAAGCGATAGCAGGAACTGCAGACGCTGGAAAATCTGAGATAACAAGGTGCAGAGCTGGATGAACACAGCAGGCCAAGCAGCATCAGAGGAGCAGGAAGGCTGACGTTTCGGGTCTAGGCCTGCTCCTCTGCTTGGCCTGCTGTGTTCATCCAGCTCTGCACCTTGTTATCTCAAATTGTTTTAAGCGTTATTTTTACGCATTTTTCATAGTTTAACCGTTAGCTATATCAATAGCTTCATGCACTTCCACATTGTCAAATATTTTGTTATCCATTGCCAGTTGTTCCATTGTTATCTTAGTGAACAAATTGAAATACATCAGGTTATGTAATTTACCTCAAGAAAGACATTCACAGCACAGCGCATAATTAATATTACCATGTGTAGTATTTTGCTGCAACAAACATTTCTGATTAATATATGTGGAAATGTTCGTTACAAAGGCAGTGTGTTCAGATAAATTCTGGAAATTTGATTATATTTAAATGTATGAATTGTGCTTACCGTTGACAGAAGCGAAAGTCTTATCATTGGGTATTGTTTGTAGTCACAATTAAGTGCGAGCCTGATTGGTTACATTAAATGCGCATCCATTCGAAGTTGTTACTGATACATTAACTTCTATAACAATTGCATGTACACTTGCAACATATTTACACATTGCATTACGAAATCACATTGAAGATGTGCGGCTGTACATTCTGAACACGTAAAGAATTGAAGGCTTCAAGCTGCGTTTCTCTCACGGTCCATTGGTTTGCGATTTCCTCTAGTCGTTTGAATGCTATCAAGTTCGTCGCAGAATTATATTTCAAAGCACAATCTGTTCATAATTATTAACAAATGAAGCAAGTATTATTCTCCATATTGATGATCTGTAAAATAAATTAACTTGAAAACATGCCTTTGAGATATTCTAGGGCTAAAATATTAACGCAATATTGCAAGAACTAAATAAATATGATTGAAAGTACTGCACAGGGCCAGGGCTCCAGTGTTTTTTTCTGGCCCATGTTAGGCCGGAGTACTTATATCTGCCCAAAAAATAAAATGGCCTTGAATCAGTCATTCCTTCAGCGGAAAGCCAAAAACGGCAAAAAAAGTGAGGTAGACGGTCAGATTATTTGGGTTATAGATCTGGCATGTAAGCAGATTAATTGCTGAGTTAATCATTTCTATACTCACAGCTCACTTTTGCGGGATATTGAATGTAGGGCTGATTCAGTAACACGTAGCCGTGATTTGACAGTACCTTCACAATGTTACACATTCGAGTTATGGTAAACACTTTTCACTTTCAATACGCACTAGAATCACTAATGCTAACTTGAGCGTGTATAAATGTCAGTATTAAAGTGTTAGATGGAGTAAACTATTTTGAGGGGGTTAAGAACTATTAAAATGACGGCAGCGCGTTTACATAATAGAAGTTATGCTCTGCAATTTGTTTAAGCAAGGCTGGAAATCATCTGGTAGATTCAGGATTCTCTACAGACCCATAGACTTAGTCGACACTAGGCTCTCCAGATTCACTTGTATTAATGGTGCATGTGGAATTTTAGCACAACCATGGAGCAAAAGATGCAAGCATTCTGGGCAAGACATTCAGGAAATGAAGAAAATGACATTGATTGCATTTTGCGACACACCGTAAACTGAATAAAACAGGAAGTGCAATGAATTTCAAGCAGAATGCGCACAGCTTCCACGAAGGGCCAAATGCTCTTTTTGTAGTTTGCATTTGATTTTTTCAACGTTCATGCACATTTCTTCTCGTTAAAAAGGTTCGTCGGTTTCGCCTCAGTCAAAAAAATGAAAGGCAGTCAAATTATGTTTAAGTAGGCCGATTTCCTGTGCCGAGGTTCACTGACAAGATGTATATGCTGGCCTTCATGTGGTGAGGGAGGAGGACGGGTGAAAGAAAATTCATCATGGGCGACCTAACACGTTGACAAATGGGTGGATATGATGACCTACGTCAATGCAACACTGCAGTCGAATTGAAATAAGTGAGGTGCAGCAGTAAATGTTTGCAAATTTGAGAAAGGATTGGTCGCATTTTAATGTCATAGAATCGTGAACTTTTAACGAAATGGCAACCGCAGATATTCCACCAGCTTCGCCAAAAGTTCAAACTTGTCGAGTGACGTTCCCTCATAAAATAGCAGCTGGCTCAGTAGCCTGAGAGGAATTCGTGGTTTATTCCCTAATTCTTGTCGGAAAGTTAATGGGATCCGACAATGCACATCCAAGCACAAGTTGTCAGGTTTCAGTTCAAACAGATGAAACAAAAGTCGATGGTTTCCTTCTGAACTGGTGGACAATTAACTGTGTTACAAATGTGTTAGTGACAGCATTTCTAGTTCACAAGCCAGATTTCAACATTATTTGGAAACAGACACGGCTTTCGAGTCCATCTGGGTTTCATCAAAACGCTTACAGATCTGTCTGGAAGGGACCGGGTAGCTCTCGCCAGATTATTATGGCAAATAACTTTACCTGAAGTGGAAATTGATACGTGGCCTGAGCGTGGGAACTGCGGATTTGCAGGAAAATTATAAGCACATTTTGCCTTATTTTAATTAATGGATTATATTTTCAATTCTCATCCTGATTCACTTGAGTGATCTGCAGAAAACAGATAAACATGAAAGGGAATCTTTATTTAAAAAAACAAATCTGTAAATCAACATTTATACCTTTTTATTCCCCTATTCATTGCAATCTCATTCTGTGGATTTTATTTTCGCAAATTATTCTTATTTAAACAATTAACGCTGGCGGCGTTACTGCAGAAAGGCTCCCTGGTGATTTGCTGAACCCCACAATGTAAAAGAAATGAATTGGGAACACCATGACATAATGGTCTTTAGATTTCAACTGGCTATTGGAATTCAGCCCCTTCATATTTGCGGGCTGCAAAAATTCTACCCATTCGGCTTCGCCAGCCGTCTCACTGCAGCCATGAAAACGAGGAAGAACGAGAAAAGAAACATCTAATACTGAAACTGGTTTATATAACTCATATTATATTACATTTGTATTCTTTGGAAAGGATCTGATGGTTCAGATTTCTCGAAACCAATCAACAAGTGAGTGATTTCACGCAGGTTGAAAGTCCATGACTATAGTTGGCAGTCAGTACTATGATTTTTCTCTTTTGCTGGTTAAATAACTTGAGCCACAAATTCTCAAAGTAAACATAATGTGGTCCGAATGGCACACTTCCCTAAATTCGAAAATCGAGGTTTCATGCATCACTTGGGATTGCTGAACGATGGATGCAAAAGGAATTTGATAAGTCTGCAAAATAAAGGAAGGAATTCAGAACAACAACTCTTTATATTGCAAATAAAATCATACCGAATTATATCATTATTCTCACCAATCTGCATTTGTGAGCTTTTAATCTGCAGTCTTTATTTTGTGAAGAGATTAAGAAAAGCAGGCAGGGGGCATTAAAGTATTTTGTTCAGCTTTTGCCGGATGGATTTTGATAATGGTCTGGTGTAGCATTTCACTGTGTATTTGAAACGATCACATGCCACAATTATCTAGTTGATACGAATAATGTTAATAAAACACTGTTATTTTCTCCTTTCACTTTAATTAGATAATTCTTAAATTGTAGACATAATTCATACGGGGGCTTGCCATCTGTCATAGTTTCAGTCAAGTCAACCATAATTAATAATGCATTTCAAATGAATGTTGGACATTTTTGAACACTCGCTTCCATTCCAGTCCAGTCACTGCAGTAGCTAAAGACTCTGGCCAGCTAATACTTTTGAAATAATTTGAGTTTCACAAATGATTAGGATGGATAGTTTGGTGACATCTCCCAATTACATCACTGTCGTGAATGCTTTCAACGTCTTGTTAGTTTTTTTTCAATTTGTAAACCTACAATTCCCCAGGAAAGAATTTATTTTACAACACTTGCCCGTCTGAGCATAAAAGAACAGTTTGTGTGGAATTCACTGCGGATTTAACCAGGAGCGAGATAATAACCTAAATCACGTGCTTTTATTTTGCAAGAGAAATCCTTAAAATCAAACCATAAAAATGGGTACATTTTTCAAATTTCAATACATTAGTCAAGCACTGATTATCTCTTGAAAAAAAATCCCACTAGTTTTTCTTTTATGTACAAATTATACAAAACATTAGTCTGCTGAAAATAAATGTTCTAATTAACCCGTAGATATAGATTGGACCGACTGGCCTTTAGTGGTGTAAACTGCATTGGTTTAACATTAAGTGTGAGATGGTATCGGGACTTATAGTGACGCAGTGCTGACTTCTGCTGTTTTGCCCTCTTCTTTTAGTCCCACTTCCTCAGAAGAATATCACATCTCTGATGATGAACAAAGACAATCTCCTCGGTGGAATTGCAAACCATAACGAGGTGTTCTGCTCGGTGCCGGGACGTCTGTCTTTGCTTAGCTCCACATCCAAGTACAAGGTGACGGTGGGAGAAGTCCAGCGGCGCCTGTCCCCACCGGAGTGTTTGAATGCATCATTGTTGGGGGGAGTCCTGAGAAGGTAGGTAACAAATACCGAAAGCAGCCTCTTATACTGAAGCAGCAGGAAACGTGTAGAGCAGCGTAGTGTGACCAAAACTTCAGGACCAAATGCACTGAACGTGAATGTCTATCGGTATGTTGCAAGCTTTATCCATTGATCTAAATAATTTAAACATATGCGACTCGTACAATTTATTGTACAATGCACAACGCTTTTCCAATATTTTTATATCTACTCTTCTGCTGTTAGTTTGTCAGAACATAACATTAATAACCATTAGAGTACACACTTGGAAGTCAATTATATACAAGCGTGCAGTTACGCCCCAACTTCCGGTTTATGGAGAGTGGAGAGTGTATTCTCAACCGCGCATCTGAGGTAATTTTAGCCACGGCATCTTGCAATGGATTGGCCTAAAGCATCCACGTCTTGTGGGTGTTTGAAGACAGGCCATCGACTCGTGCTTTTTGCTTCTCGTTTCAAATGTAAGGGCATTGTTCGAAATATTAATTTATTTCTACAATAAGAAGAATGAAAATAAAGAACTCTTCTACAACCTCCCCCTTTAAGTCTACTTTTCAGAGGAACGCAAGTCGGATTGTCTACGATTTCCACCATAAACGCATGCCCACTAAAACGTCAACGTTTCAAGGCGCCGGGCCTTGAGCGGAAAAGTGGACTGATGTAAATAGCCAGCCGTGTATTTTTGTTGCTGCTGACTCGATGGGCCAAAGGGCCTTGTCGATACTGTAATAATTCTATAGTTTCCCTGAGATCCAATGAATGGTCTGAATATATATTTTTAGAATACTATCATTTCACATTGCCGCAGTGATAGTGACATAGTAGAAACTCAAAATGTTGGCAGACCTTTTTTGGCGCTATTGGGCTTCAGTACACTGGAGAATGTAACTTAAGGACGCTATCACCTTTACATTAATGGACAGTCAAAAAATAAGCAGCAGTGCAACTATATCCAAACTGTAGCCCGATGCTGTCATTATCATGCAGCTACCAGTGTTAGACCAGTGGATGGTCAGGTACTGCTCACTCTGCCTCAACACCCAATGCAGTCAGGTGAACAACAAAAGCGTTTTGCCTTCTGACTCGCTCAATTTTAAGTTGTGACGAACAAGAGAAAACACTATTTTGAAATAATAATGATAACAATAATAATAAATAAATTTGTTTTATAAAAATGTCCAGATTACGTAATTATCGAATTCAGCACTTTGAAATGTGGCCTTGCTTTGACCTGGCATTCTACATATCTCTGGGGAACTCAAAATGGTGTGAGACTATCTCCCGTAGGATGATATTACGCTTCCTAGCTTTGGTGTACTGGGTTTACCTTGGGAGTTGACTTCCAATTATACTGCAACGTTCGGGTTCATACGCATCTAAAACAGCTCAGCATTAATATGAAAATATCGGTATAACTGCATCTTTAAGAAATAAAAACCTGGCCCATGGGTATTATTATAAACTTCCACTCGAACCTCACGTGAAAAGTCGCCTTTTGAAAGAGTTTTCCTTTCCTGGAGTAAGGATCGTGTGATTTATTATGGACGCGTAGGTTGATTGAACAGTTCTACCTCTTGCACACAGGCACTCACGCAGGCTGTGTACACCACAAAGAAGGCTACTTATAATAGAGCTGAGTCTCAAAATCTATCCCTTATTGTTGTCAGAGCCAAGTCGAAAAACGGTGGAAGGTCGTTGAGAGAAAAGCTAGAGAAGATCGGATTAAATTTACCCGCGGGCAGACGTAAAGCTGCAAATGTCACTTTACTAACGTCACTAGTGGAAGGTAAGTTGTGGGAACACATTTCATAAGAAACTTTTCGGATTGTATTGATAAGTTGACGTCATGATTGTCCCAAGCTTAACACCATCACAAGAACTTTGAACTGCCCATGAACAAGGGAACAGAAGACTACTTGACGATATTGGCAGGGATGTTATTACATTGTGTTCTTTTTATAACAATCACATGTACTTGAACAATATTCATTGCACGAAAGTTAGCTAAAAGTATTAGCAACCAAAATATCAACATTAATCTTCACAATTTTTGGCATTTTTGATCAAGCCATTTATTGTAACTTCAAAGAGAAATTACATTATTAATTATGTAATTTAACTAAAAACTACTTCGTTCATACATCATAATAAATATTATAAATGCATTTATCTCAAGGCTGGAAGGGTTTTCTTTTAGCTAACCTTCATGCATGATTTATAGTTGTATTTAAATGCTCATATGTAACTGCATTCTCCATCACTTAGTTACACATAATCACGCTTGCACACTCATACACAAACGTCACAGATGTCCATATATCTCTTTATATTTGTATTGATGTTCCTATGCACAACGATAAAGTAAGTTTGAATGCCTGTTATTTTTCAGTTGTGATTTCCCAGTGTCCTATCCTCGAGCCCACACCTCTACCCCGCTTGTGCATGTACATCAGAGATTGTAAATCTTACCTGTTTAGGACCTGCTTTAATATTAGCAAGAAAATATCTTGTGAAATTATTTTTATTTTTATTCAGAAATCCTTTATGAATAAGTGATGCAAGCCGTCTAATTTTGCCAATGTTATGGCTGATATGTCAGCTGAAATGCACTTAAATAACTGGAAGACCTGTGGTGTTGCGCATTCTTCAGTAGCAGCAATTTGTTCAAAAGAATAGAGAATATAAAAATAGATAAGAAAAGAAAATTGACACGCTAAATATGTGGACGTCTACTTTTTTAGCCTTTTTCTACAGGCCAAGGCATCTGACACATTCATTTATTTATCGCTTGTTTGTAAACATTTAGTTCCCCTACATAGTAAGGTATGATGTTTATCAGTACTGAGCTGAGTAAACCGAATTCTTCTAATTCTGTTTTCAAGAAGGCGCAGCAGAAATGGAAAAGTTGTATTTTATGACTATATATTTTGTGAGAACACCGTCATTAAGGATGCATTTTTGTGAAAACCTGACAATAATTAGCGTGATAATTATCGGTACAGTATCTCTTTGAATCACTTAGTCCTGCGGACAATTTCATGTGCCTAGCCCCAGTTATCGTCTGCAAAGAACTTCAAAGAGATCCACTGCTTGAGAAGTGCAGTATTATCTGTTTGAATCCCTCGGAGCTCGACTCTGCGGTGTTAACCAGCCTTCACTGAAGTAGTATCAGGTGGGGTAGGTTGATGACATGGACCTCAAGGATAGTCCAGGATGGAAGGAAATATGACAATCCCAGCATTAGCAGATCAACCACGATCTTATTTCGTGCCGGAGCAGGCTCGAGGGGTCGAATGGTATACCTCTGTTCCTATTTGGAATGTTCGTAACTGGGCCAGCATTTATTTCCCGTCCCTCGTTGTCTTTGAGAAGATGGTGGTGATTTGCCTTCTTGAAAGGCCGCAGTCCATGTGCTGTAGACAGATCCACAATGATTGATGCAAAAAGTTGGCACTGGGCAGTTTTCGTAAAATGGCCTTGCTCCCAAGTAAAATGCCTGTGCTTATTATATTCTACTTCCTTGTTTCCAGTGAGAACGGATACATTTAGCTACAGTTACCAATACTACTGCTTATGCTTAACATAACTGTTATGTGAAAGTCAGTACATAATTCCTCAACATTTTATGGGAAGAATGCTGAACAGCAATTTCTTACATGGCACAGTAGCATTGACAGATGGATATCCATACATAGAATGTATATTCCATGACAGATAGACAAACAGATAGATGGATTATAATTATTCTTCTTGCTTCCGCATGAGTGCCATCAGACATTACTGAACACATTCCGAATGCTCACACTTCACTGTTGCAGTGTGTTATTTTGGCAAGTAACAGTCAGTTGCTGTTTGTTAGAAACTCCTGGGGGGTGTCTTGTTTAATTACAATATTTATCTTTTCAAAGATAAATCTTTCACAGTCAACTCCTTCATAACAGTCAACTGCTCTGCAATAAATGTGGTCTATCGGGTATTTTATTTAGATTGCCTACTGCAAAGACAAATCTCTACCAGAGGTAACTAACAAACACCTTCACTACTATAATATAAACAAACGAAGCCATCAAGAACACTAAAAGGTAAACGACATTTATGTTCTGTCTCATAACTGAACAGCAAACAAGTCGGCCCAAAGTTGGCAATACTGTCACCATTTTACGAATAAAAATTCGTCCAAATGTTTCCTTTCCATTCCTACAAGGTTTATTTTTATTAGATCTCCTCAGTATGTATAAGCCACTATCGACAACCAGATGTGTATGCAAGTTTTGTTCTCCATGTTTATGAACGACGGATAAGCTTAAATAATTACCTTAATCCAGAAACGAACTTCATAATTATTCCATTGCGTTTGCGCGGACGCTAGCTCCAGATCAGATTCAGCTACTTTGATTCCAATTTCAAGTGAAATCCTGTAAACTGCATCATTATAAATCTGGAGGATATCCAGAGCAAAATATTAAGCCCCAAATAGCGATTTATTGTTGACATCACAATCTCTTCTATTGTAGTCTACAGAAAACAGGGATCAATTACTTAGCATGTGCATATTTATTCATAAAATAATCCGAATCTTACACTATATTCTTATATCTAATGACTGTATCAAGAACTCAGTTGGCTGTCGGTTTTTAGTTTGTCTTGAATTCTTAAATGAGCTTTCCTGCAGACACTACGGGGAGATAATGCAGGGATCGTACATTAAGACACAGCCTAATCGAGAGGGACACCCAATACGATTAACCGGCGTCATACAGAACATTGTACACATAACAGAGCTAGAAAATTTATCATAAATATTTTCATGATGTGCTCCATTTTTTTCTTTGTGCTATTTACTTCCGGCCCTTTGATTAATATTTATACAGCCATAAGATATAGCTGAAATTTTGCACACACAATACTTATATAACCATATGAGAATAATAATGAGGTAATGTTGGTTTTGTCTTGCAGGCGAAGCCGTACATTTAGCTCGGGATTTTGGATACATCTGTGAAACCGAATTCCCTGCCAAGGCAGCAGCCGACTACCTAAACAGACAGCACACAGATCCCAGCGAGCTGCACTCCAGGAAGAATATGATCCTGGCCACAAAGTGAGTTATTCACCTACTCCTACCTGCTTTTGAGACCTGAAGGAATAAACACTAACAGTTAATCTTGTACCTGATGTGCAATGATGTATGAACAAAATGCGATTTTTGAAAATAGGTGTCATGTTTGGTATTGCATCTGCCTAACGCTCCCTTCGCCTACTTAAAGGTTTCAAACACGCTGATTTTAGGTCATTTTGAACAATGCATCAACATGTAGTTACAGTAGACAGAGTCAAATGAGTATGTCACATAAAATGAGGGCTGAGTTTATGTCGTTTAAAAAGCTGTCCCTAACTATGAGTCCAAAAATCTTTAGGAAATTTTTTCCTTCATTGAAGCAATGATTGAAAACCACTAGATTCATATGAATAGTGAAGCCACGGTTTAATTTAAGCAGCATTTAGAAGTTAAGAAAATCATTTCTTAGCACGCATTTAAGAAAAATTCCTTGAAAACTTCGAATAGCTCTAACAGTTTCAATCAGATCTGATAAAGACACAGTAATGTCTTTAATATATGATTATGTCTATGCATGTCCATTATTGAGGAAAGTCCCTCAGATTCCCACCAATGATTATAAAAAAAACCTGAAAAAAATCATTTGCTCAAATTTGTCCAGATGTTCGCTAGACGTGATTTGAATTTAATTGTTTCTTTCCGCCGGGTCAGAAGATATTACAATCTCAGAAAGTTTAATTGCTTGCAGGCGATTCTTTTTACTTTGAAGACTAGAAGCGTTTGGCTTCCCTGCCATTAATCCTTCACGGTGGACGTTTTCTACTTTACATAGTCAAAAAAAATACAAGGACGATGAAGGCAAGCGTTTAGAATGTTCCCATAGCAATTTCCTATGAGCGTCTGATACGTGTTACCACACACGGCAAACGAGATAGGAAGAGAGGGGAAAAAGCCAACAGAAGTGGGGAACACCAAAGAAAATTTCTAAAAGGCATTTTTGAAATATATTGTCTTGATTAATTAAGGATTTCTTTACTGAGAAAATGACCAGGATTCCCCAGCATCTGATTGATTCTGTGCCTGGGTGCAAATATACTTCGGTTAGCTTAAATTCCATGACCGCACTAACCTCTACTCCTGTACTACCTCTTCGCCACGTTTTTTTAAAAGAACTTTGAGTAGAGATAGGTCCACGTTTGCTCGTGTTGGGGATATTCAAAGGAAGAAGATGTACAAAGCTACATTTTTCATTATTGAGACTCATCTATAATGCAATGATTTTTGGCTCAATTTAAAAAAAAAGATTAGGGCTCTCTGCACACCAATTCTCAGCATTAATGATATTGACGACAGATATTTTTGGCTGCGAGTTACGTGATCTTTTCTCAACATGCGGGTTGATAGAAACAGAATTTTTATTAATCGCAACTTTTAGATAGGCATACTTTCATGGGTTATTAAGGGCTTTGAACATACATGTTTCCATTTAAAAATCAAATACATTATTCCTCCATATAAGACAACGATTATTTTATTCATCAGAAATCAACTATTGATGATCATTCATTGAAGCAGTGAGAACTACACAATCTTGCAGTATGGATATATCTAGCATCTGACAAATAGAGTGCCTTCAACATTCATATTAAAAATGGCATCTGGCCTAGGGAAACTATGTAGATCCAAAATAATCTTATGAACATCACCGAGTATACAACAAAATAAAACAAAGAATTGTAGAAGCTGAAAATCTGAAACAAAAACAGAAATTCTTTGAGAAACTCAGCAGGTCCGGTATCATCTATGGAGGGAAAGTAAAGTCAATGTTTCGAGTCGAGTGACCCATCTTCAGAATGGATTCTGTTCAGGGGTCACAGACTCGAAACATTAAGTCTGCTTTCTCTCCCCAGATATTGCCAGGCTTACTGAGTTTCTCGAGCAATTTCTGTTTTTTTGTGACCAAGTATACATTGTTCTATTAGATAGATTTCAATTGTAGATTTAGGCCTGAAATGATGGTACTCATCTCTTTTAGACTTCTTTCTCAAATTTGCATTATACGAATCCTCTTGGATGAAATTACAATCCTGTAAACTTTCCCAGTTCTACATCTTCTGTGATCACTGATAACATTACTTTACATTTAACAAAGGAAACATGATCTTTGAAAAAGTACATTATCGCACTCTACACGGTATCCTGAATATTGGCACGGAACTCCATTTAGCAAATTTAGAGACAGAATAAAATGGTCTAAATATAAGTGTAGACACCACTTTTATCATTCGGAAAACGATAACACTTAGTAAATCGATAATCCGCTTGGCAGCAGGGTGATAGACGATGCAATTCACCCGCCTCTCAACGTTCTGAGATTTCATTTCTGTTCATTGTTAAACTTTACAATTCAAATATTTTCTTCAAAAAGTGTTCCAGTGGAATCAATGCGTGCATCAAGTTGATATAGGCTAATGCTGGGAAATGGGAACAAATTTCCATTTCAACGCTCAATATAAATATTAATTATTTCCAGGTCAGGTGCAGCAGCATTATGTTGCAATTATACAGTAGCTGCCAGTCTGAAAACGAATGGCTGTGGCATAAATTCCAGCCATACAGGAACTAGTTGTTACTCTCAGTTTCGGACTGCAATTGCCTCCCCCTGAGGAGATTGAAATAATCTTCACCATGCATGGAATTTAACTTTTTAGAAGCAAAAGCATTCTGGATATTTCTACCAACTATCCAGGTAGGTTAGAAAAAAAGTCTAAGAGAACCTTGGGCCCAGAATTCTTTCATAATCAGATTTAACCCTTACACTGTATGAAATGTTCAATGCAAGTCTTGTGATAGTACTTCTTAAAGATGCTCTTGAGCAATCATTCCTGTTAGGTCAAATTTATACCGCGTCACGACGTCACAGTGAGGCAGAAACTACTGCAGAGGCAGATGAGAAGCACAGTTTAAATTTCTTTTGCTCAAATGGAGGGTGGCCATGGGGTGAATTTCCGTTGGGCGAAAAGTGAGGGAAGCGTCTCTAGTGGCCCGCTGTAACTTCACCAAGGAGTGCCTGAAACACTCACAGAGTTTCCGGGGTTTCCTGGCAGTTTCAGGGCTGAACGGAATTCAGATACAATTCTGACATTCTGCGCAGCAAACCCTTTCTTTCTCTTCAGTCTGGCTGAATGCACCAGAGCCACTAAACCTGAGAAAAGCAGCCTGCTGATCTTACGATAACAAGTGTAGAGCTGGATGAGCACAGCAGGCCAAGCAGCATCAGAGGAGCAGGAAAGCTGACGTTTCGGACCTAGACCCTTCTTCAGAAATGCATTTCTGAAGAATGATCTAGGCCCGAAACGTCAGTTTTCTTACTCCTCTGATGCTGCTTGGCCTGCTGTGTTCATCCAGCTCTACACCTTGTTATCTCAGATTCTCCAGCATTTGCAGTTCCTACTATCTCTGCTGATCTTATGCGCAGGTTGGAGCAGGATTAGGCCACTCGGCCTTTCGAGCCTGCTCGGCCATTTAATAAATACATGGTTGATTTGATCACCCGATATTCCCGCCTGCCCCAGCTAACCTTTCACCTCCTTGACTATTCAGAATAATTCTACATATACCTTCGAAATATAATTTTAAAAGATACAATCTTTTTGGAATGAACTCTACTTAAGATTGTCTGATTCACAAATGCAATAGCAAGGTTCTATGATTTAACTCTATCAGTTTAACTTCCCCGTGGATTTAATTTCTCCGTGGTTCTATTGCAAAATGCTTTGCTCGAATTGTTTTCTATGTCTTCGTTGTGTTCATTTGTAATAATTTCTGATTTCGCACACCTGTAACATGCAAGATGTTTTTTTCAAAGACTAAATTATGCCGGTAATACTAACACGTGTTATTGGTTGAAAATGGCCCCAGTAAACGTGTAACCTAACCGTAACTCTTTCACCTGTATGAACTTGTGCTGCTTTTAGCAGGATTAATTCACAGTGAGATTAATCTATATTTAGCTTTGCATTACTACATTCATTCTTCAGCAAATTAAAGAAAGATTCACATCCGTGATTCATTATAAGAATTGAGAACATATGAGATTCCATTAAAAACATCCTGAATTATTTGACAATTATAGTTGTAGACTATTGTAGAAATGCGCATACAGTGGAAGTCAACGCCATACAGGCAGCTTTACCTTAACCATGATATGCGGGTTGATGTGGGGGGATAGGGGGCGGGGGGGGGGTTTGCAGTTGAACCGATTTCCATAGCAATGCCATTGCATACATCTGATTTGTGTTATCTGACTGCAACATTCTTTGTCCTTGTTTTCTTAACCCGCAGGCAACTTTGCAAAGAATTTACAGATCTGCTGGCGCAGGATAGGTCTCCACTGGGGAATACCAGGCCCAACCCCATACTAGACCCAGGCATCCAGAGCTGTTTGACTCACTTTAGCCTCATTACGCATGGTTTTGGCTCTCCCGCCATTTGTGCTGCTCTCACAGCTGTCCAGAACTACCTGACGGAAGCATTAAAGGGACTGGACAAGATGTTCCTAAACAACAATCCAAATAGACATACATCTGGTGGGGAGGCAGGCACCAAAACTGGAGACAAGGAGGAAAAGAACAGGAAATGAAAAAACATTCCTCCAAACTTTTTATTTTCTGTAGCTTTATATAAAAAAAATCTTCTATTGACTTGGAAAAGACGACAACGCACATATAACGGAGCAACACTGGGTCAACTGTTTGCAACCAATATGGACCTGGATGCAAGACATCAAGACCTTTTTTCTTGGTATTTTTCCAATTTTGCAAACATTTTGACTTCCATTTTCTGTCAGAATGGCAGGCGATTCCAAGATCAGCTTGTGTGACTGCAAATTAATTTTTTTATATATATGTTATCAAAATCCTCTGGTCCCACGTTCATTTCAGGTCCGATTTCTGTGCACAGTTCTGCATGTTATGAGGATGGAAACATTCCAGCAAAAGAAAATGATGATCAGGTAACAGAAACACTTAATAGCATTTTTTTACAGCCCCCCCCCCTCCCCGTTTGGATGTGCAGCTTCAATATAGAACCTTTAAAGATATACTACCCAAGGTCTGACGGTTCCCACACAACATTTAACATGGTGACAATAATGACATGTATCTGCTGAATCTAACCCCAAGCATAACAATGCAGGCAGTAGTGTGACTGTCCCTAACCTTCCAGTCAACATGAATCTAAACGGAGCTCTAACTAGATAATTATTCACCCTCGATTGCAGTTGTCAGATCAAGTTCAAGGTGAACACCAGCGCTGCAAAAAAAACTACGCAAAGCAGAATGAATACAGACAGAAGGTGAGTTCACTTCAAAGAGACGGGACTGAAATCCAACAGAGATTAATGAGAAGGGAACATCGCATTGTAGAAACGGGCAGTGCTCCCCCTGCATGGCGTAGTCTCTTTAAGACTTGGTACATTCCGACACACCATTTAATATAACTGGTCTTCCTTTCAATAATTGTTCTGAATTTGGCAGCATCTACTTAAACGCTCAGTACGACAGGGTACACCGCCCCAACCCCCCAGAAGCTATTAGCATTTTGATCAGTCTTTTTCGATGTTTTTTTTGTAAAGACCTCCCCCTTATCCCTTGAAGGACGCTTAACTATCGTACAACCTCCCTCAGCTCAGAGGACAAGTGAGTAACGTCTCCACCCAAAACATTTTTGACCTCAGCTGATGCATTTTGGTCAGTTTGAACATGAGTGGACACTGAAGCACCGTCCAAACGCAAAGCCTCGACCCAATGACTCCCTTGAGAACTTATACCATATTAAATGTAGATGGTAGATCTTAGTACAAACACGACCCGAAGATACGCAGAAAGCACATGAGCTGTATTCGAGAAGCTTGATATGGTTAGTTAGGAAGAAAATTCATTTGTTCGTCAGAATGTCGCCATGAACACATGGCGAAGTTATCTCTTTGTTTACATATAAATCTTAAGAACTGCATCCGTCACTATTAATGAGCCAATTGCTTTTACACCTATTTAAGAAATACCCCACCGCATTACTTCATTAAATTGCCAGCATGCGCACTGCAAAAAAAGGGCTATATTTGAAAGAGAGAATTGGTTCACGCGGGTCAGTAGACACGGGTCAGTAAACTTTGGATTGAGAAAAAAAACATGCAGATTCTTAGAGATGGGCTGTCTGGATATCCTAGGTGTCTCTCAAGTTGAAAGAGAGAGGTTATTCTAAAAATAGCAAAATTCTTGTTTCTTAACCATGTTGGTTGTCTGCATTTTCTGGAAAGAATAGCAAATTATGTCCTCATGACTGGGAAACATTTAATAGTTATGTTTGTAAAGTAGCCGTTTCAAATTGCTTCCCTTTTTTCGATCAACGGAACCGCGCTGTCCACATATCTCGCCTGCATACAATCTTGAAACAAGTTAAATAACAACGTTGCAAGGGAAGGCAGGGAAGTTGAGGGTGACATGGCGAATTCCACACGAACAGAAAACAACGTAGTCTAACGATAAATGTTGTTGGCATTCTGATTGTTCCTCTCGAATCCCAGGGGTTCCGAGAATGAATGTTCCAGTACCTGCACTTCGACATGCTTTTGAGAACAACTCTAGATCTATTTAGAAACAATGCATTGTTGTATTATTCAACAATTTCGAACATATTTACATGTTACAACTATTGCAAACAGCTCTGATCTGTTATATTGTCATCAAAATAGTCATCGTTGTTGATACGCATATCATGGGTGTCATCTTACTATAATACGCAGCCATTTTTCACATTGTTGTATCCCAATGGTTGGCCATCTAGCAATTTCCTTATTAACTATACGCATTGGTATATTACTCAACTAAGTGATATTTAAAAAAAAAGAATATATAAGATCAAACGTTTGGTATTCTACAAAATCAATGCTCCTTTGAGAATGAGTTTCCTTTTCACGTATTTTCCTTGATTTTCACTCTTTGCCCCAGGCCATGCATGTCAATGGAAGAGTTACCACAAGCCGAACTGCTGCTCCTTGAGTCCACAGGTGGTATGTGGCGGAGTATTATCCCCTGTGGGGATATAAACAAACCCAAGGCCCAGACTGGTTAAACTCATCAGATAAATAGCAGGAATGTTGAAATCCTGGGAGAACACGGGTGTGAAAGGAATGTTTAATTGGTTTGTTACTGAGGCACTTAGGTGAAAAAGCGACGATTGGTAGTACCATCTTGGCGAATACATAGTGATCATGCTGATTTAAATTTCCAAAAAAAAAAAAAAATCCTGTGTTAAAATATCTGTGACAATACGATCAGGGTCCCAGGGATATTGCGATGGAAAGAAATCTATAGGAAAGCCCCATTGCATTTTGTTGCATTTTCTTTAGAATTCTGTAGTGATGAAAAAATGAACAGGATTAATTTATTTTGCCTGCTAATTTTTGTATTTTCACTGATTTAAGACTGCTTCTGCCATTGATAAAAAAAGTAAGCGGTGATCAATTCCTAAATCACGAGGATAAACGGATTACTTAAAGTTGACCCCTTGTCCACACAATGAGATCCACTCTCCAAGGAGCATAGGAACGTAGGACTTTGGAGCAGGAGACTATCCAGATCGTGGTTGATCTGATTGTGGCCTTAGGTCTACATTTCCGTCGGTACCCCATAACCCTTCCAACTAACTCCTAGCTATCTCAGCCTTAAATAAATACAATAACACAGCATTCACTGCCTTCCGGGGAACGGAATTCTACAGACGAACAGCCCCCCTGAGGAAAAAAATACTTCCGAATCTCAGTCTCAAAAGCAAAACCTCTTATGCTTGAATTGTGTCCCCTGGCTTTGGCCCCACCACAAGAAGAACCATCCACCTTGTATCCAGCCTACCCAGTCCTCTCAGGATCTTATGTGTTTCAGTAAGATCACTTCTCATACTTCTAAGCCAATGCATAAGCGTTCAACTTGTTCAACCCTTCTCCATAAAATAATCTCTATAATCCAGGAATGAGTCAGTGTACCTGCATTTGACTGTGTCTAAATCATTTATATCTTTTTTTCCCCAAACTGTACAAAACCTTACTCCATACTCCAAACTTGTCTCCCCAAAACCCTGCGCTGCTGCAATAAAATCTCCCTTTTATATTCCATTCCCCTTGCAATTAAATGCCTTGCGGATTTTCATGTAGCTTAACCCCATGTCCATTCTCTATGATTATGATATCTTCCTGTTTTACTCTAAACTGATACAACGTTGGTATTTTGAACCGTTAAACTTAGTGTTTAAATAGGCAGAATTAGTCATAGTGGAATTCTAGCACGGTATTTTTTGTTAAGGCACGACTCGCTTCCATTCTATCAAAGCTCCGCAGGAATGTATCTCACTAAACATAATCTGCAACATTGTTGAATAAGCAGGGGGAATTTAGGTTTTCATAGCGCCTCCCCCACCCCTTCTCTCTGAACAGGTGAGAAACTACTGCACAAGAAGCAGCTGTGCATTAGATTTGGTGACTGCAGATTCCTGGGATTCCGGGGTCACTGTAGTTCAAAAGGCACACGTAGACTTGTTCAACCTCATAGTTCAAGCCAACAAAGATTAAAGCCAACTACAGCACAGGCTAGAGGGCAATTGTAGCACCGCTTAGTGAGCCGATCTCTGAGCCAGAAGGCCTGGATTCAAGTCTCATCTGCTCCAGAGGTGTGTCATGACACGTCTGAGCAGGTTGGTTACAAATGATCAAGGTAGACAGTGGGATGAACGTTCCCATTTTAAGGAACAAAAAGCTGCAGGCAAAATTAGTAACAAAGGGTCAGACTTGCCAACGGAGTCAGTGTTCGGCTCAACTTTAGCTTGCTGAGGCCAGTTTTGTTATCTTTCTGCGCGCAGGCACAGACGTTTACAGCATAGAAGGGAGCCATTTGGCCCATCATGCCCGAACATAGATTAAAACCTCGTCTCGCTTTCCCTCTCCCGCCACTCTGACTTGTCAGAGATCCATGTTATCCTATGTGTAATCTAAACGTAGTTAGACATTGACAATGAAGAAATGTTACAAGTTGGCCAAGAGTTAGATTAAAACTCCGGTCACATTGATCATTTGACTAGATGTGAAAACACTGCCTCTAACTAGAAAGTAATTTAAATGAATGGAAAACAGTTATTTGTGGTGGTGTTTAGCACATCTCTTACCTTTGTAAAACCAACGACGAGCAAACATGTTTAAAATTGCCACGACCAATGAGTTCAGATTCAAGTATCGATTGAAGAGCATGATTTTCATTTCAACATTAAATTGCTGGGAGGAAATGTCACCCCTGCTGATTTCGAACCGTCTCATCATCACTCCTAAATTCCTCTTAACCAAACAATAGTCCACTGACAGTTTGGACAGGTTATCCTAATTTCAATAATCTTCCGTAAACGCTAAAATGTATCAAACATTTGATGGTCAATTGTTGGGTAAATCAGGTGTAGGTGTTACAGAGGAACAATTTCAACATCGAGTCTCGATCTAAACATTCCTGTTTGCCATACCTTTCAAATGAACATTTGTCCCCGAACCCCCAAATGACAGCATTTGACACTGAATATGCCAAATTCCTAATCTGCAGAGTATGTAAAAATTTCGGTTTGATCCAGACTTCATAATTTTTCAATTATCCTACCAAGGAACGCTTTCTCCTACTTCATGTAACCATATG